CATCCCCTATACAGTGGAGGAAGATGGGCACGGATGTTAGCCCAGGGCCAGTCTTCCTCAGCAAAAAAAAAAAAAAAAAAAAAGAGAGAGAGAGAGAATTGGCAGATGTTAGCACAGGGCTGATCTTCCTCACACACAAAAAAAAGCAGGGTCAATAATCTAAAGAGAAAACTGTAGGAAAAAATTACTCCCTCTAAAGCTTTAATATCATCATAAAATGGGGACAATTGTGCTTTCATTAGTTGTCATTATTATTTCCAAGTAGTAGAAAAAAAAGTGACTGCTTAATTTCTCTCTCATTTGTTAGAATGAATGCAAATAAACTCACATGTGGAAGCTTAAAAGGAATGAAAACTTGTGCTGATGAATGACAACTTCAAGGGTCCTATCTAATCCCTTATAAAATTTGTATAGTCTCTTTCAATGAACAAGGCAACATTGCCATTATAAGTTATTTTCCTTGGTAGAGGTGAAGAGTTTATTTGAATACAGGAAAACTGAATGATGAGCATTAAAACTGAGTAATAATCTGATTCCTAAAAAGAGAAAGAGTAAACAGTAAATTATGTCAATACCTAACAGTCACACCATGAAAGCTGATGCACAGATGTTACTATACTAAAATGGGGTCACCTAGGTATATTTTGCAAGAACTTTCAGTGGCAATGTCACTTCAGGTAAAAAAATATTCATGGGATTTTACTGGAATTCCTGGATAAAACTAATTAAGCCTAGGGGCCAGCCTGGTGGCGTAGTGGTTAAGTTCACTGCACTCCGCTTCGGTGGCCCGGGTTCACAGTTTCAGATCCCAGGTGCAGACCTACACAACTCATCAAGCCATGCTATGGTGGCATCCCACATACAAAGTAGAAGAAGATGGGCACAGATGTTAGCTCAGGGCCACTCTTCCTCAAGCAAAAAGAGGAAGCTTGGCGACAGGTGTTAGCTCAGGGCCAATCTTGCTCAGCAAAAAAAACCAAACAAACCTAATCAAGCCTAAATATTATTTTCCATATCTATGCTTGATTCTTTTTACACTATCTATCGCAGGAAAGGCTTTTGTAAAAAATCAAAACTGTACGTGCACTACCAAGAATGTTTCCTTTTGAAAAGTGAGCCCAATCAACTGAAGATAAGCTTCCCTAATTCTGGACCTTCATTTGCTTTATCAGTTTAAAAGAGGTGGGGTGAAAGATACACAGCAACATCTCAATCAGGTCCAAACCTTGCCTGAATCTAGAAAAAGCTATGGATCCTCTTCCTAGAACATATGTTTATAAAAAATGTGAAGGGGCCGGCCCGGTGGCACAGTAGTTAAGTTTGGTGCGCTTTGGCGGCCCAGGGTTTGCAGGTTCGGATCCCGGGCGTGGACCCACACCACTCCTCAAGCCATTCTGTGGCTGCATCCCACACACAAAATGGAGGAAGACTGGCAAAGATGTTAGCTCAGGGCCACTCTGCCTCAAGCAAAAAGAGGAAGATTGACAATGGGTGTTAGCTCAGGGCCAATCTTCCTCACCAAAAAAGAAAAAAAATAATGAAAATTTTAGGGGATTCCTGAAAAATCTTGGGTTCAGAACCTTTTTTCAAAGTGATAACTGCTGGGAGACAAGTCTGTGAAAGAACTATACACACTATAATATGTATATTTGATACTCATGTATTATATTAAAGGTATTATAATTTCTGTTTTTTGTTTTTTTTTTAAAGATTTTATTTATTTATTTTTTCCCCCCAAAGCCCCAGTAGATAGTTGTGTGTCATAGCTGCACATCCTTCTAGTTGCTGTATGTAGGACGCGGCCTCAGCATGGCCGGAGAAGCAGCGCGTCGGTGCGAGCCCGGGATCCGAACCCGGGTCGCCAGCAGTGGAGCGCGCTCACTTAACCACCAAGCCACGGGGCCGGCCTCTGTTTTTTTTTTTTTATAATTTTATTTATTTATTTATTTTCCCCCCAAAGCCCCAGTAGATAGTTGTAGGTCATAGCTGCACATCCTTCTAGTTGCTGTATGTGGGACGCGGCCTCAGCATGGTCGGAGAAGCTGCGTGTCAGTGCGCGCCCGGGATCCGAACCCAGGCCGCCAGCAGCAGAGTGCGCGCGCTTAACCGCTAAGCCACAGGGCCGGCCCTATAATTTCTTTTAAAAGGTATGTAAAAGTAGAATTCTTTTATTACTCGAATGTATTTTTAATGATTATTCAAATATATGTTTTTAAAACTATGTCTACAGGGGCCGGCCCAGTGGCGTAGTGGTTAAGTGCACACACTTCGCTGTGGCGGCCTGGGGTTCGGATCCCGAGCGTGCACCTTCGCACCACTTGTCAGCCATGCAGTGGCGGCGTCCCATGTGAAGTAGAGGAAGATGGGCACGGATGTTAGCCTAGGGCCAGTCTTCCTCAGCAAAAAGAGGAGGATTGGCGACAGATGTTAGCTCAGGGCTGATCTTCCTCACACACACACAAAAATATGTCTACATATGCAGTTCACTTTCCACTTTTTTTTTAAAAGACTGGGAGAAATTAACAAATAAATTAATACAATTCTACGACCAAGAAAATACTCATCAGTAATACTGCAGTGAGCAGAGTTAAATGCAAGAAAATCACCTGCACTTATTATATTGATCATAGTCAAGCTGGAGCATCACCTGGGAGGGGGACACAGGGAGGCTGCTGGGGAGCTGGAAATATTGGACACAGGTAGTAGTCTCAAGGGAACAACATATGTAAAAATTCATTGAGCTGTACACTTAAGACTTGTGCACACTACTGTATATACTTCAATAATTTTTTAAAAATCAAAGCTTGACCAAATTGATACTGAACAATTTAACCAACTGCTGTAAGCCCTAGTTTTCTTTTAATCTGTAAAGTGGATTAATAAAACTTCTAGGGTTATTGTGGGGACAAATAACACATGTACAGTTTAGTACAATACTTCATACACAGTAAGCACTCGGTGAATGTCAGTCTAATATACCATCAGTATAGATGGTGGACTACAATTTTTATCAATATGAAATATCGCTATCCAGTTTAGTAATAATAGTGATAAATTATGGATTATTTCCCCAGGCCAATAGACAGACACATGCAACACATTCCTTTAAACAGGGGTATGTGTTTGTGTATATAAATGTGCCCACTATCCCATGGTGTGCACATAACAGAACTTATTCACTATTCCCCAAGTAAGAGAGTTATTTCCTGTTTTGTCATTAGAAATAAAGCTACAGGGGTCAGCCAGGTGGCATAGTGGCTGAGTTTCCGTGTTTCACTTCAGTGGCCCAGGGTTCGCCGGTTCGGACTCAGTGCTTGTCAAGCCATGCTGAGCAGCATCCCACATAGAAGAACTAGAAGGACCTACAACTAGGATCTGCAACTATATACTGGGGCTTTGGGGAGAAAAAAGGGAAAAAAAAAAAACAGAAAGATTGGCAAGAGATGTTAGCACAAGGCCAAGCATCCTCAAAAAAAAAAAAAAAACAAAAAGAAAACGAAACGTGATAGAAATAAAGCTACAGTGAATATCCTTGCCCCCTTGCCCCTACTTTGTTTCTTCTGATATTTTCAGGTCTAAAACAGATTACCATATAAACTCTTAAGGTTCTTTCAAATATGAAACTTAAGTCTCCAATAACTGAATGCCTACCCAAACAAATACTAAATTAATGTTAACAACAACATTACCGTATTGCCATAGGTGCTACAGATAGAATTACCTGAAGTAAAACTTCATAGATTCTAAATTTATTTTTCAAATGATAGGTTAGAAATCAGTTGTTCTTCCACATTTCAGAGTATTAGTCACAAATAGTCTAAAATCTATAGCTCTTTCCAAAAGTTCAAGGAATTAAAGATTCTATTTAATGACAGAAAAATAATCACAGTATACTTTTTTTTTTCATAATTTTTATTTATTTATTTTTTCCCCCAAAGCCCCAGTAGATAGTTGTATGTCATAGCTGCACATCCTTCTAGTTGCTGTATGTGGGACGCGGCCTCAGCATGGCCGGAGAAGCGGTGTGTCAGCGCGCGCCCGGGATCCGAACCCGGGCCGCCAGCAGCGGAGCACGCACACTTAACCGCTAAGCCACGGGGCCAGCCCACACACAATATACTCTTAAGTGAATAGATGTTAATTCCAATTTTGTTGAAATAAAATAGATATATACACAAGGAGATATACCTAAACTGTTAACTAGTTCTCTTGATGGATGCAACTGTAAGCAATTTTCAGCTTTATCCCTTGACATATTTCCCAATTTTTCTACGAGTATGTACTACTTCCATAACAATAAAAATGTTCACATTTTTTACAAATAAGAGTTCAACATGCTTTCAGTACATGTATCCAACAAATTAATTCCTGCATAACAAAGTACTTTGGTTTACACTGGTAGGTCACATTGGCCTGTGTCCAAACTGCCAAGAGCACCTAAAAAACTCCCTTATACTTGCCGACAGTAAGTTCTACCCCCACAGCTCTGTTTTCCATTCTGCCCACTCCCACTTTCATCACCAAAACATAATATTCTCATAAAGTATAGAGAAGATACAGGTAGACAACATTTGACAGAGTTTATTTCAGCCACAGACTCCATCTCGGTGCAGCTTATGTCTATTTTCAGCACAAACCTGCTTCACGCCTGAAACCCAGGTTCCCTGCTAGCTGGGCTTCTGATTCATTCTCAAGTTCCATATTGAAACCACTGTCCCTAAAAATAACTGACATCCTTTCCTACTTGCTCCTCCTTTGGATTTTGTCTGAAAAACTCTGCAATAAATCTTGTTCCACAGACCCTTTTTATGCAAATAAGTTTCCACAAACTATTACTTTGTTGGCTCAACCATAAAACTCCTACAATTTTTGTTAACTAAGTTGTAAAATGTAAGAGAAAGAATCTAATTTTAAATTATTACAGTAATCTAGACTGCAGTGCCAAAACGTTTCAGATTTTTGTAAATTCTTACATCAAAATATGACATAGCCACACTCACCTTGGTTCAAGTAAGTGAGCGTTTCATCATGCAGTTTGACTGCTGGCGATGTTGCAGCACACATCACATACTGGAAGGGTGGGTGCTTAGTTTCATCATCCAGTGGAAGGCTGGAATCTTCCTGCTTGAAAATGGGCAATGCCAAGACATCACTGAAACGCAAAAAATCAACACTGACCTTATTTTGGGTTTAAAATATTTAAAAGCATATAGAAACATTTAGCGGTAGTTTCTTTTAAAATTTAAGATCAGAAATGATACGCAGAATAAAAGAACTATTAATGCTAATCTGGCTCCCCCAAAAGATAGTAATAATAATCCATATCTCTAGTGTGGGTGTGCAACTATGATTAGGCAGGTAAAATAAGAAGTATTGAATAGTTAATAAAGTTCATGCTACTGATAAAGTAAGAGATCAAGCTAATAGTGTATGTGGTTCTTCAAAAAAAAAGTTACTTCAAAAACTTTCAAATCATTATTTCTAGTAAAAAAGGGCAAGTCAAGAGTACGTAGCTACCTGTTTCAAAAGGTAGGTTACAGTGGCACCATGAAATCACAAAGAAGCATTTGATTAAAAAGGTACTTTACAAAAAGTTCCCTGCTAGGGCTGGCAAGTGTTGAGAGCATAAAGCTTCATGCTTAGTCTAAAACAATGTCTTCTGAGAAGCAAACAGTAACAGTAGAAACAGCTGCTATGTTTTCTCCCAAGAATAACTTGGGGCATTGATTGGGAGGGGAGTGGGGCGGGGTCTTGTAGGGCACTATCTATACTCTCTACTAACCTAGGTGGTTAAACACACATGGATGTGTTTGGTTTGCTTTTTTTTTTTTTTTTTTAAAAAAAAAAAAACAGATATAATTTACATACCATAAAATTCTCCCTTTAAAAGTATATAATTCAGTGGTTTTTAGTATATTCACAGAATTGTGCGATCATCACCACCATCTAATTCCAGAACATTTTCATCACCTCAAAAAGAAATCTCATGCCAATTAGCAGTCATTCCCTATCTCTATCCCCCAACTCTACCCCCAGTCCCGGCAATCATTGATCTACTTTGTCTCTATGGATCTGCCTATTCTGGACATTTATTTCAAATAGAATCATGTGGCCTTTTGTGATTGGCTTCTTTTACTTAGTATGTTTTCAAGGTCCATCCATGTTATAGCATATATCAGTACTTCATTCCTTTTTATGGCTAAATGATATTCCATTGTATGGATATACCACGTTCTGTTTATCCATTCATCAGACAGTAGATATTTGGGTTGTTTCCACAACCCAAATTATGAATAATGCTGCTATGAACACTTGCATATGTTTTTGTGTACACATATGTGATTAACTCCCTTGGGTATATACCTAGAAATAGAATTACTGGGTCATACAGTAACTTTGTTTAACTTTTTGAGGAACTGCCAAACTGTTTTCCAAAGTGCTGCACCATTTTACATTCCCACCTTTAATGTATAAAAGGTATTTGTTTTTTAAATAATTCACTGAGCTGTATAGTTATATGTATAGTTATATCTTGATAATTTTTCTATGTTCATTCTTCAATAAAAAGGAAAATAATAATAAAATATCCAAATGAGTGACTACTACATCAACACCAACAGCAAAGGCTTGTCTGAATTTCTTACTTTCCCTTTTTTTCCCTACAAGCTGTTGACTCAGATATTTGGCTAGCCCATTTTAATTAAATTCAATCTAAAAACAAAATGTGGAAATAAATGAAATGGGAGGGAAACTCTGCATTCTTTCCTCCCAGCCTACATTTCTATGAAAGCACTAGAGTGATTGATTATTCAGACTAAATTACCCACTGATTCTTCTTCTCTTTTATTTATACCTAGGAACTGTCAAAACACTCCTAAGTACATAAGTATAACTGAGGGACACATAGTCAGTGATGGTCCCAACCCTCTGCTCGAGTTCTTCTCAACACTGTGTCCTATGAGTTTTGTCCCTGCTAAGTGGAACAGATATAAAACCCTTGGGGCAGGTATAAAAACTTTTCAGGAGACTTAGAAATGCTACTTTAAGACTCAGAGCAGCTCTCTTTATGGAAAACAACCATAACAGTCAAAATGGCTCCAAAGTAGATGAAGATACATATATTCTTATGTCATATATATGTAAGCATTTAAAGTTCTCTGGGTGAGAAAGAAAACAAAAATGAGATGAGAGCCATGACTTAGAAGCATTAGTTAATTATGCCGAAAAGCGACATGGGGAATAATTTTAAGATCTCAATGCTAACTGCTTGGGTTGATCATTAAACACAAGTAATCAAAATAAGACATAAGACTGCATAAGAATGGCTATTTATAAATAAACTGTCTCATATAGTAAGTAAAATTTTATTTGCTTCAGATCCTAGAAGGCAACCACCATTTTATTCACTTAGTTACAGCCCAGATGATCCATACAGGAAATACTATGCTCATGATAGGTGCTAAATGATTCTTGAATAAACAACATATAAACATGTAAAAATCATTTCCTATTGAAATCCCAATTAATTTTTTTACTTAATTAGAAAAATGCATTCCAATCAACACAGCAGCCAGAGTGATCCTCTTCAAACAGAAGTCAGATGATTTCACTCCTCTGAACTCTCCATTAGCTCACTTTCAACCAGCGACCTTACAAGGTCCTACAAGGCCCTAACTCAATCTGCTCTTCTTCCTCTCACCTCACTCCCTCTGCTCCTGCCACACCAGCCTCCTTCCCTGCCTTTTTCAGAGCCTTTGCACTGGCTCTACTCTTCTGCTGACGTCCTTCCAGCTCATTTCATTCAAATGTCACCTTCTCAGTGACTACTTGACAACTGCAATCCTCTCATCCACATTCCCAATTTCCCTTTTCTGCTCTATTTATCCACAAAGCTCATCACTTTCCAACAGTATACATGACTTAAGTTTGTACTCCCCATAAGTATATAACCATCCCCCAAGTTTGTTTCTCTTCACTGACTGACCCCAGCATCTGACACAAAAAAAGGGGCTCAAATATCTGCTGACTCACTGTACCAACTGCAGCATTAGTAATCAATCGATCTTTACTAAAATGAAAAACTAGGTCTCCAGACAATTTAAGATCCTAATTTCTACTAGGTTGAATCCTAAGAAAGTCCTAGTATTCAACTGTTTTTGTAATCCCATATCGCAGACAGGACTCACAGGTATCTGACAAGCAAATGAAAAGCCTCAAGGCTTCAAATTATTCAAAGTAATTTTTTAAGTGCCAGTACCCAAAAATAACCAGGCACACAAAGACAAACAAGACTCTTGGAGCAAGAACCAACAGCAAAACAACAGATGGTATATACCCAGTTCCAGGTTCTGTCTGTTGGTATTCAGCTCTTCTCTGCCTTTGTTGCAGAGGGTTAGAGGCCTGAAAACTACATTAACAAGACATCTTGCCAGCTGGAATCTTGTTAGGTTGCTCCAAAGGGAACCACTGGTGGGAAATTAAAATGGAGTGGGAAAGGGCAGAGGTAGGCAACCGCATAGCCTGTGGCTGCAGGAAATTTCAGGGTGGCAACAGCCATACCTCCAGCAGCTAGATCAGGAGCAACCAGGTAACACACCCTCCCCTTCAAACCCTCTAACACCTTTGCATTCAAATACTTCACTAAGTCTTTCTCTGCTTAAAACATCTAAATGGTTTCTATTTTCCTGATTGGACATGGACTGATACCCCCAAAGACTTCAGATGCTTGAATTTTTGGACCCATACTATAAAATTATGCTTACTCTGTTTAAAAAAATAAAAGACAACCCTGAAAAGATCTACAAGAAACAGTAACTTTTAAGAGACAGCAAACCTGAAAAGGAACACACAGAACTTCTGGAACTGGAAAATAAAATTGCTAAAATTAAAAACTCAGGTTTAACAGCAGCTTGGACAGAAATGTAGAGTATATAAGGAAACTGGAATACAGGCAAAAGAAGCTATCGAAGGCAGCACAGAGAGCGAAATGATGGAAAATGCAGAAGAGACAGATGTTAAAAAAGAAAGGACAAAGTGAAAAGATTTTAAATTGAAGTCGCAGAAGAGAAAAGAATGGGGCAGAGGTAATATTCGAGATAAAAACTAAGCAAATTCTAGAACTGATGAAATACATCAATTTTCTGATTCAAGAAGCTCAAATAACCAAAGCAGCTTAAATTAAAAGAAATCCACACCTAAATACATCAAGAAAAACTTCTAAGCCACCACAGTATGTGGAAGTTCAATTTTCTCAGTTAAGTACCAACTAAGGGACTCAGATGTAGGTGGGCACGGGGAGGAAGAGGTGTGGGTCTGAGGAGGAGTCATCAAATCCTCTAGGAGGGCCAGGGAAGGAATGGATGCGGGCACCATGGTGAAACTACTGAGCAGCAAAAAGGATGTACTTGAGAGCTGAGGTCATCAACAAATTAATGCTTTTCTAGAGCCACAGTCAGCTGCTTAGGTAACTTAAAAGAGGTGAAGAATCGGATTTAACCAGGGTTACAGTTTTGGTAAAATAAAAATAAGGGGAGGGGATTAAAGCAAGAAGGGGCAAGAGAGACAAGCGTATATGCAAGGAAGTAATTATAATGATTGCTCATGGAAATTTAAACTGTCTGGAGAAGAATAAAAGTGTTCAACAGGGTGAGGGACAGTAAAGTAAGACTAGGATCTGTGATTGTAGATCTTAATGGGCCAAACGATGGCTAGAGCAGGGGTAATGAGGGAGGTGAGCTGAAAGGGTAGGAGGTGGTAGGTAGAGCTTGAACTATGAATTTGAGATTACAGGTGGGTTGCACGGTTGGTCATGTCAAGGTCTAACGTATGACCACAGGATTGAGTAGCTCAAGGTAATACCATTATAAGAAAGATAATCAAGGAAAAGAAATGTCAGGCTATTGGAAGTCCTATTTAAATATCTTTTGAAATCACCAAGAATTATGACAGTAGTAGTGTTAGACAGTGACAGTGAGGCAGGACCTAAAATTTTTAATTATTGATTGTGTGCGTGTGCGTGTGTGTGAGAGAGAGGAAGATCAGCCCTGAGCTAAAATCCAAGCCAATCCTCCTCTTTTTGCTGAGGAAGACTGGCCCTGAGCTAACATCTGTGCCCATCTTCCTCCACTTTATATGGGACGCTGCCAGAGCATG